GCTTGTTATCAGTAACTAAAAGAAACTGAAGATTAATAAATTTGTGGAGTTAAACTATACATTTTTTATATAACTCTCAAAGCCATGATTTTAAAGAAATCATGAGGCAAATTAGAAGATCCCTAAAGACTACTGAAACCTAAAACACAGCAAAGTAAAAATTAAGGGAATGAGGGCTGGAGAGATGGCTCAGCAGTTAAGAGCACAGACTGCTCTTGCAGAGGACCTGGGGTTGATTCCCAGCACCCACATGGCGGCTATGAACCGTCCTTGACTCCAGTTCCAGGGGAATCCAATGCCTTCTGACCTCCACGGCATTGCATGACACGGGTGTACTCACATACATGCAGGCAATACACTCATACACATAAAATTAAAAAAAAATGTTAAGGGAGTGGGTAAGAGTACTGGCAGAGAAACCCTTAGATATAAATACTTACATTAACTTTTTATTTTTAATACTTTTGAACTTTCAGAATTTATAAAAACAGCAAAATATTTATATACTTTTATTCAAACTTTCCTAATGTTAACATCATTAAAAATAAAATGAGAATTAGCACTGATACGATGCTAACTACTAATCTATAGACCTTATTCACACACCACTAATTTTGCCCTTAATGGCTTAAAAAACTTTTTTTGTGTGTATTTCACACAGAACATCTCAAACCATTTTATTCCTTTTTATACCCCGTTCCCACGGGCACCCTCCCATACCCTTCCATTGGAGCTATATATATACTCTGTCATTCCTGTTAAGGCCCACTGGGTTGTCAGTGTCCCCAGCTGTTCCCCAGTGCAAGTCCATCCACTAAATCTAGTCAGCCTGTCTATAGTGCCTTGTCTTAGGAAGATCAGCTCTCTTTCATCTAGCAGCAATCAGTTGTGGAGTTTTATGATCCAGCTTGCCATACTGCTTTCAGTTGCCAATTTTAAATTACAAGTAAATTAATTTCACAAAGGAAACAAAAAACTTGGAAACTGAATACTATAAAATATAAAATTTAGGAGCCAGGCATGGTGGAGCATGCCTTTAATCCCAGGACTCAGGAGGCAGAGGGAGGTGGATCTCTGTGAGAGTGAGGGAGGCCTGTCTCCAGAAAAGAAAAAAAAAAACCCTAAGATGGTCAAAAAATGGGAAGACAATCTGTGTTCATGGAATGGAATATATGATTTAGATGACAGTATTATTCAAAATGATCCACAAATTTAAAGTGATTTCTATTAAAATCCCAATAATATGTTTTGCTGAAATGAAAAAAAAAACAAAATCCACTCTAAAATTCATGAAATATGAAAGGAATTAGAATAGTTAAAACCACCTTAAGAAAGAAAAATTAGGTTGGAAGAATCACGCTTCCTGATTTTATAACTATTTGTCTACAAATCAAAACAGTTGGAACTAGTCCACAAACAGTAATAGAACGAAATCAGAGAATGAAATCAGACCTTATACCGAAACAAAAATTAATTTTGATTGGACCAAAGACCTAAACCTAAGAACTGAAATCATAAAATTCTTAGCAAAAAAATAATAAAGAAAAGCTTCATGACATCAGTTTTGTTGATGATTTCTTGGGTATCGATATAAAAGCATGGGCAACAAAAGGAAAAAGCAGATAAACTGAACTTCATCTACGTTAGGGTCTGGAGATGGCTCAACATGTACTGCTCTTGGAGAGGACCTGCATTTGGTTCTGAGCACCCGTATCAGGCGGCAGCTCACAACTGTCTGTAACTCCATCTCAGTGGAAATCTGATGCCTTTGACCCCTATGGGTACCTTCACTCATGTGTGCATGTGTGTGCACATATATGTACTATTTAAAATAAATCTTAAAAAATTAATTTATACCAGCTGGGTGTGGTGAGGCACGCCTTTAATCACAGCACTCAGGAGGCAGAGGCAGGCGGATCGTTGTGAGTTCAAGGCCAGCCTGGTCTACATAGTAAGTTCAGGTCAGCTGGGACTGCAGGGAGACCCTGTCTCAAAAAGACAAAAAAAAATTAATTTATACCATGTCAAAGGATTTTACTCGAAATACTAAGAAGACAACACACAGAATGTGAAAAATATTTGCTAATCATGTATCTGATAAGAGAATGATATGAAACATAATCTCTACAACTTAATAACGAATAACCCGATTTAAAAATGACTGGGGGAACTGAACAGACATTTCTCCTAAGAAGGTCTATTAATGACTAAGTAGTCCATGAAAAGTTATTAATTATAAATCAATCCTACAAGAAGATACCACTTTGTATACAGTAAGAGGTTCTCATTAAAACAAAACAACAATGAAAACTACTCAAGATTGTGGGGAACGTGGAACTCTTTTGGGTGGTGGGAATATGGAACAGTGCAGTCACCATGGGAAAGTCTGCTAGTTTCACAGAAATGTAAACATGTATTTGCCATATGAATCAGCAAAAAATTAAAAGCAGGAAGCTCGAACTAGCAGCAACATCATTCACAAGAGCAAAAAGGTACAAAGAACAAAATTACCTATCAAATTTATAACAAAAATGTGGTTAAAATGGTTTGAATATGTTCCCACAGGCTTATGTTTTAACTGATTGTTCCCCAGATAGTGATGTTATTTTGGGAGTTTGGGGATTAGGTAGGATATAAAATTTAGTTTAAAAAAAAGCAGGCCATGGGGGGATATATTATCCCTGGCACCTTCCTGTTTAATCAACGGTTCTCTTCTACTATAGGCTACCACCACAATGCTTTTGTCCAAGTAAATGGAACCAAATGACCACGGACTGAACCCTGTCACACCTTGAGTCAAATAGAAGGAACTAATAAATACTCATATCAAGGACTATTACTCAGCTTTAAAAAAGAATGAAAATTCAGATATATGGTGAAGCTTGGAAGCATTGTACTAAGTGCAATGAGCCGGAAACAAAAGGACAAATATTACATGATTCCACTTACGCGACCTACTATTATTAACAGAAACAGTGACGTAGAAGAGAAGTTACCAGAAATAGGGAGAGAGAGAAACAGAGGCTGCTGTTTAATGGATAAATTTTAGTTTGGGAAGACAAAATTTCTCTGAGGATGCATAATGGTTGTATTTAACATCACTAATTTGTACATGTAAAAGTGGCTGGTAAACTTTATGTATATTTTCCCACGACGTATATAAAAATTACATTTAAATGAAATACTGTTAGGAAATTTCTTGCAGAGACAACAGCTAGCAGTCTCGAAATTGTGTGTATACTGGGACTGAAGAAACAAACATATTTTGGACAACTGCACAGGTTTCTCATATTAAGAAAAGGAAAGACCTAGAAATATGGCTGGGTCTAGGGTTGGGAAAACACATAATGTGCCTATTTCATCCAGTTGTGCTAACAAGTATGTGGTTAAAAATAATGACTGGGCACTGAAGGAGAATTGAGGCAAACTCAGAGAGTTCTTGGGGTTAAAACTTGGATTTTACACAGCATTATTATTTTAGAATAATATCAAATAATAAATAATATTTATGTAATAAATATGAAATAAATAAGGGAAAACACACAGCATTGGTATTTTAGAATAACAAATAATAAATATTATTTATGTAATAAATATGAAATAAATAAGGGAAAACACACAGCATTGGTATTTTAGAATAACAAATAATAAATATTATTTATGTAATAAATATTATGAAATAAATAAGGGAAAACACTAGACTAGCTTCTCCTCATAGTAGAATTCTAATTAGAATATGCAGAAAGAATAATGGAAATTGAAAAATCACCATTAGGCAAACACTATACAAATAACTATGTTACAAGTAGAAATTTTCAATGGTTAATAAAATTAGTTATGAAAAGATACTTGCACAGTCTCAACAGACTTAAAATTAGTAAAAAAAATGGTAATTTTATACTGGGAAAAAGTGGCACCATATTAATAAAATAATGGAAGTTTGTGCAGGAGCTAATTATCATTAATAGAATTAAATATCCCTACTTCACTGACATTCTGCACTGAGAAAGGCACAGTAGTGTTCTTGATCAAACACGTGACCTCAATGAATCAACTGGAAAACATTAGATAAACCCAAATGGGTGGATAGCTAATTAAATCACTAACCAGTATTCTTTACATGTGTCCAGATCATGAAATATCAAGAAAGACAGAGAAGTTGTCAGATAGAGATGACCAAGGGTACTTGGCAAATGAAAGCAATGTGGGAAGCTGTATCATAAAAAGCCATTAAGGGCAAAGTTAGTGATGGGAGAATAAAGTCTATAAATTAGTAGTTAGCATTGTATCAGTGCTAATTCTCATTTTACTTTTAAAGATCTTAGGAAAGTTTGAATAAAATTATAGAAACATTTTACCAATTTCATAAATTCTTAAAGTTCAAAATTATTTAATAAAAATAAAAAGTTAGGGTATGGAGAGATGGCTCAGTGGTTAAGAGCACTGGCTGCTCTTGCAGAAGACCTGGGATCAGTTTCCAGCACCCACATGGTGGCTAACAACTGTCCATAACTCCAGTTCCAGGGGATCAGTCTCCCTCTTCTGATGTTCATAGGCACTGCACAACACAGGCACTTACATCTATGCAGGTAATATACACATACAATAGAACTAATACATAAAATAGTAAAAATAAATAAAAAGTTAAGTAAAAACCGTAACAGGAATCTAAATTTTTGGTGACCATGGTTTGGTGGAGTCATAATTACTCAAACTGAATTATTACTATTGAAAACTCTTTTTAAGCTAGAAAAGCATGAGAGAAGTTTAAGTCTTTACTTCTGCAATCCCTTTCATTTACTTACACTTTATACTGAGCTAGTGATGCTAGTTACATGCCAACATATCCTTTTTCTACCATAATAGTCAATTGTTTAAGAACAGGAACCAAGGCATAGTCATTTCTACATGCTTTCTGACACAGTTTTTGCCAGTGAGCTTACGGTGAATGAGTGAAAACTATGTAACAGAATTGAATGCTGTAGGAATTATTTACTTACGCTCCACAAAGGAAGTGAAGAGCATTCTAAACCTGCTAAGCCGACTCCCTTCATCTGCCCACATCCGGATTACTCCAACTCCTGTTTTAAGCATTACATCATTGGCCACAGTGCTGCAGAACTTGGCCTTTAGGTTTTCAATAGCGCTGCTTCCATCATACACAGCAACAAAGTTTCGTTTGCATTCATTTGAGTGCTCCATTTGGTAGTCTAAGAACCTCAAATAAATCTGTAATATTAAAACAATAGTTTTAAAAAGATACATTTTTATTTTCCCATTTCGAGGTTTCATAGTCAATGAATTACACTGAATTACAATAGCTGACTGAAGAACGGAATAGATAAAAGGCTCATGCCTAAGTCCTTAAAAGACCTAAGACTGATTTTTTTTGGTTGTCTTAACAATGGAACCAACATTAAGAAATCTTATATTTTATCTACAAAGAGACTGCCTTTTCCAAAATAAGGTATTAATTCTCATATAATCTATTGATTATAATGATAACCTCATGGTACTGACAGATGAACAAAATAAAAGAACTGCTCACAATTTTATTATTCTAACAATCAATGTTATTAATTGGTATTTCCAGTTTTTCAGTACAAGATATTTAATTATTTATTTACATACTTACACATGAGACAGGGTCTCATGTAGCCTAAGCTGATCTTGAACTTCTGATCCTCCTGTCTTCGCCACTCAGGTGCTGAGACTGCAAGCATGTGCCACCACACCTGGTTTTATGGGGTGCTGTGAATCAGACCCAGAGCTGCATGCATGTAAGGCAAAGATCCTAAGAGCTATATCCCTAGCCCTTTCTGTATATTTTATTATTTTTTAATTTTATTATTTTTATGTGTGTGTATTGCCTGCATGTAGGTAAGTGCACCCATGTCATGGAGTGCCCACAGAGGTCAGAAGAGGCTGTCGGATCCCCTGGAACTGGAGTTATGGACAGTTAGCTGCCATGTGGTTACTGGGATTTGAACCCAGGTCTTCTGCAAGAACAACCAGTGTTCTTAACTGCTGAGCCATCTCTCCAGCCCCTTTCTGTATATTTTAAACCTAAGTTTAATTATAAGGTGCCTAAGATAAATATACCCTGCTTTTGCAGTAACACATCACAAATTTTACAGTTTTATCACAATGTTCATTCCTTCAGCACCCTACCATTTATTTACCTGTTATTCTACTGCTATACATTTAAGCAAGTTTAAGATTCCACTCCCTTGTTTTTTCTTTTGGTCTTTTTGTGACAGGGTCTCCCTGTAGCCCCAGCTGTCCTGGAACTCACTATGTAGACCAGGCTGACCTTGAACTCACAGATATCTGCCTGCCCTGCCTCCCCAGTGCTGGGGTTAAAGGCGTGCACCTCCATGCCCAGCAAGATTCCACTCTTTAAATAATACTTTTGACAATTTCAGACAGGAAGTTAGAAACTGAATTATCAACATAAGCATTATTAGCATTGCTTTATTCAAATTTTATAGTCAGTTTGATACTGGGGACTAGATGATTTACAACACTTTTGACCTATTTTGTTTGATGATTTCCATGTTTACATTCTCAGCCACAAGGACATTTTACATACATACAAGGTATTAATCTCTAGCACAGCCTAATATTAAGCAGGTACCCTTTATGGCAAGAGAGATTCAGCAACTTGCCCAGGATCATACAGGACAAGGATTTTTTTTTTTTGTTCAAGACTTAATTTTATTTATATGTACATGTGTGTCTGTGGGCACCAGCAGAAGCCAGAAAAGGGCATTGGACCCCCTGGGAGCTGGTATTACATGTGGTTGTGAGTCATCCACTATGGTGCTGAGAACTGAACTCAGGTTCTCTGGAAAAGCAAGTTCTCTTAACTACTGAGCCATCTTTCCAGTCCCCAAGGGCAAGGCTTTGAACCAGATCAGGTTGATCTGGTTCTTAAGTCTATGTTTCTCTCACTCTATGGGGATCCTTAAGTTCGCACATACATATGCACATGCACATTCTCACTTTTTTCTATAGTTACTTATATAGCTCTACCATTGTTTTTGTGTGAAGACCAAAAATTTTCTCAGAATTGTCACTGAAGACATCTAATGAGTACTCAACCTTTCAGCTGATACTCCTGAGATAGCAGCATGTCTCCCCTACCCTCTAATTTAAAGGGCTTTAAAAAAAGCATGACAAGGGCTGGAGAGATGGCTCAATGGTTAAGAGCACTGACAGCTCTTGCAGAGGACCCAGGTTTGATTCCCAGCACCCACATGGCGGCTACGAACTGTCCTTAACACCAGTTCCAGAGGAATCCGACGCCCTCTTCTGACCTCTGCAGTGCACTCATATACATGCAGGCAATACACTAATACGCGTAAAATAAAAATAATAATTTTTTTTTAAAAAAACCATGACAAATATTTTCCCCTGTAAAAAATAGCATTTAAATTTGACTAACAACTTCATTTGAAATAACCAGCTTGACATTTCCATGAGAATGATAGGCAATTAATAATAGATTTTTGATTCTAAAACTTTACAAAGTTTTTTCCATGTGTTTAGACATAAAAGCAATATATTTTCAAGTGTCATATCACAAGTCTGTAGTCCCAGTTTTTTCTGGCTTTCCTTTACATTCTACTACTTATTTCTCCTTTTTCTTAAATAATAAGGAAGAAAACAGGAAGTTCAAACTGGAATTCAAGGTCATTCTTACCTATCTCTATAAAATTCCAGCCTGGACTTTGACCCCTGTCTCAAAAAAACAAGTCAACACCAAAACAAGTGCAGCATACTGGTGCATATCTGTAAACCTTGAAAGTGGAGACAGGAGGATCAGGTCATGATAGCTTCATATAACAAGTTCAAGGGCCAGCCTGGCCTACTTGAGACCCTGCTCAAAAAACGTAACATACTCCCTTAATTTTTTGTCTTTTCTAATTTTTTTTTTGTCTTTTCCCTGTAGCCCCAGTTGACCTGGAACTCTCTATGTAGACCAGGCTGCCTTGAGCTCAGAGAGATCCACCTGCCTCTGCCTCCCAAGTGCTAGGATCAAAGGCTAAACACCATGCCTGGCTATTCCCTTAATTTTTATTTATTTACTATTATAATGGTCATGATTATTTTGAGTGTATGTGCATGTATCTGCGTTTAGGGGGTTGCATGCATGCCACAGCCCTCATGTGGAGGTCAAGAGCACCTTTCAGCAATCAGTTCTCTCCTTCTAACAAGCACATCCTGTGGATCAAACTCAGGTTATCAGGTAAGGTGCCCTTGCCCACTTGAGTCATCTTGCCAGTCCCCAAGTACATCTCTTAAGTATATAATTCACTCTCATTAATTACTTTTGCAATAAAAATATTCTGCTCATGGCTCTAACATAACTATTGGCCTCTTCTATTACACAGTAAGGTCTTCCTACAGAACCATATCCAGCTCACAGAAAGTAGTGACTAGGTTTATAAAACTACAAATTGGTAGAACTAAGTATCAGCAAAACAATCAAAATGTCTATTTATTGCCTTTCAGCAGGTGGGAGTGGTACTAGGATTACTGAACTCAGGTCTTGTAGATGCCACTGAACTGCACCCCTCCCTTATTTTCCATTAGTTGAAAAAAATTATTTACTATAGCTATTGGGTTTGCACACACACGTCATGGCTTCCACGTATGTGGAAGTCAGAGCACAATTTGTGAAGTTGGTAATCTCAACCCACTTTATGTGAGCTCCATCAGATTTTGTAGTAAGCATTTTGTAGTAAGCACTTTTATCTGCTGAGCTGTGATGTTTCTATGCCAACAGTATGATCACCTGAATAGACTGACTTTTAAATTTAGGGTTTTTTTTTTTTTTTTTTTTTTTTGTCTTTTTGTCTTTTTGAGACAAGGTTTCCCTGTAGCCACATGTCTCCTTGAACTGTGCTGATGGAACTGACTGCTGGAATTGTTTCTGGAACGGTGTCCTGAGTCCAGCCCCACTTATAATTTTATTCAAAATTGTTTCTCCAGCTTCAACTGAGGAAGTACAAGCTTGATTCCATACTAATCTTAACAGATCATTTGCCCTTTCTTTCCTAGTTCTAGAATATTTCATTCATCCAAGGTCAATCTTTCCCAACCTCCACTGTATGCAATGGGGCTGGTGCACTGCCTTTCAGCACTGTGATATGTTAATTCTCAAGTTATCCACATTCATCTGTTAATTCATCCTTTTTGGTTAGAGTACCAAACTGAGGTTGCCTAGGAGATGAGATCAGGTGCCAAGGTCATAAGACACAGGAGCACATGGTTTTGCTGGGGTTAACTAAAACTTAGTCCAGTTTATGTCCATTAATAAAAGTCATTCCCACACTCAGCCATCTTGCTGGTCCTCATTCTTTTTTGTTTTTGGTCTTGTTAGAGATAGGGTCTCCTCATAGCCTCAGCTGGCCTAGAACTTGCTATCACTTGCCTCTGCTGGGATTGAAGGTGTGCCACCATGCCTGGTCTCATTCATTAATTCATCCATTTTTGAGATATGGTATGGGTAAAGTTGCCCAGACTAGCCTCAAACTTGTCAGCCTCCTTCCTCAGCCTCCTCTGAAGGAGGTGGAATTACAGGCATGCACCTACACATCTGCCAATCTGCTTATTCTTTTAATACAGAGAAAAATGTTACATATAAACCTACAGTAAATGCTCTTCAAAGACACTTTTCTTAAAATCAAAGCTCAAGGTAAGTCATATGACAAGAACATAAACTTATTTTATTGTGAATACAGTAAAACAGAACCTGATGTGGTAGTATATGCTTGTAATTTCTTATTTGGGAGGTGGATACAGGGTATTCAGAACTCAAGGCCTGCCTTGGCTACATAGAAAGTACAAGGTCAGCCTGGGCTACAAAGAAGCCAAAAAGAAATAACCCTAAAATAGTGAAACCTCCAAGTTAATAGCATAGGTCAACTTTTAAGACAATTTATAAACCTGAGAAAATGAAATGGAGGGTCACACATACTACTCTCATTCCAGAGTGCATGAAAAGATACATTTTATTGAATACTTCTGGCCTGTTGCCATCCTGGACATGTATGAATTTTTTTGCATCTTTCTTCCCAAGATTTTTTGCCATCAGTTTATGCCTTTTATGGTAACAGAGTAATGTGTCTTATGAAAGGAGCCTGCATTTCTTTCTTTTTTTGTTGTTGTTGGTTATTTGACAGGGTCTCCCTAGTCCCAGCCCACCTGGAAGTCATGATGTG